CCCGCGCCCTGCCTAGTTCGCCGTGGCCATCGGCCTCCCCCGCTGCTCCCCCTCCCCTGAACCCACGACTGCCTCCCCGTGCCTTGTCCTCCTCGTTACGTGCCACCCTGGGCCCCCTACGCCCTGCTGCCGCTTGTGCGGTCGCCGGTGGCGCCCCGCCAGCCTCGACCCGCTCTGCGCCTCGCCGGCGCCCCCCTCGGGCGCCTTGTTGGGGGCCGGCCACCACGCCCGCGCCTGTTACCTGCAGCGCCCGTGCCCGCTAAGGGCCCCTATGGGCCACAGACATGTGGGGCCCCCGCCCCAGAACGGTTTTTTTTTAAAAAAAGGAATTTTAAAAAAATATGTATAATAAAAATAAATATATAAATAATTAATTAATTAACAATTAATTAATTAATAATTAAAATAGTTAATGAATTAATTAAGTTAATTAATCATGTTTAATTAATCTAATTACGTAGATAGTTTAATTAAACCCTAACTAGACTAATCAGTCAATGACATGTGGGACCCACACGTCAGATTGACCCAGTCAACTCCCTGTTGACTGCTGACGTCATGCTGACGTCAGCGTGCACTATTCTGGATAATGTTGCATTAAAATAATTAAATAAATCCTGAAAATGATTTAAATCTTTTAAAATTAATAGAAAATAAACCGTAGCTCTGATGAAAATACTTTCTACATGAAAGTTGCTCAGAACGACGAGACGAATCCGGATACGCAGTCCGTTCGTCCACCACACCTCCCTAACCTATCGAACTCACAACTTTCCCCCTCCGGTCCATCTGTCCGAAAACGCAAAACATCAGGAATACTTTCCCGGATGTTTTCCCCATCACCGGTATCACCTACTACCGCGTTAGGGCACACCGAACACCGCGTATTGCCTTGATATATTTTGTGGTGCTTTGTTTGCTCCGTATTCATTATTTCTTCCCCCTCTTCTCTCCGATAGACTACGAGACCGACGCTGTTGCTGACCAGTTCGACTACGGAGTTGACGACCCCTCTCTCTTGCCAGAGCAACCAGGCAAGCCCCCCCCCTTGATCACCAGATATCGCCTACTCTTTTCTCTATACTGCTTGCATTAGAGTAGAGTAGCATGTTACTACTTTCCGTTATTCCTATCCTGATGCATAGCCTGTCCTTGCTACTACTGTTGTTACCATTACCTGCTATCCTACTGCTTAGTATAGGATGCTAGTGTTCCATCAGTGGCCCTACACTCTTGTCCGTCTTCCATGCTATACTACTGGGCCGTGATCACTTCGGGAGGTGATCACGGGCATATACGATATACTTTACACAGTTACATTACATGTGAAACTGTTCGGAGATGGGGGCTGAAGGGGCAGGTGGCTCCATCCCGGTAGAGGTGGGCCTGGGTTCCCGACAGCCCCCGACTGTTACTTTGTGGCGGAGCGGCAGGGCAGGTTGAGACCACCTAGGAGACAGGTGGGCCTGGCCCTGTTCGGCGTTCGCGGATACTTAACACGCTTAACGAGATCTTGGTATTTGATCTGAGTTGGCTACAAGCTTATACGCACTAACCATCTACGCGGGAGTAGTTATGGGTATCCCGACGTCGTGGTATCAGCCGAAGCACTTCAGACGTCAGCGACGGAGCGGCGCGCGCCGGATTGGACTGGAACGCCACTAGGCTAGGTCTGCTTCCGGCCGCCCACGCAACGTGCAGGTGTGCTCAGGGCGATGGGCCCAGACCCCTGCGCGCTTAGGTTTAGACCGGCGTGCTGGCCTCTCTGTTGTGCCTAGGTGGGGCTGCGACGTGTTGATCTTCCGCGGCCGGGCATGACCCAGGAAAGTGTGTCCGGCCAAATGGGATCAAGCGTGTTGGGTAAGTTGGTGCACCCCTGCAGGGAAGTTAATCTATTAGAATAGCCGTGATCTTCGGTAACAGGACGACTTGGAGTTGTACCTTGACCTTATGACAACTAGAACCGGATACTTAATAAAACACACCCTTCCAAGTTCCACAGACAACCCGGTGATCGCTTTTCTACAGGGCGACAAGGAGAGGATCGCCGGGTAGGATTATGCTATGCGATGCTTCTTGGAGTTGCTACTTGGAGTTGCTACTTGGAGATGCTACTTGGAGGACTTCAATCTACTCTCTTCTACATGCTGCAAGACGGAGGCTGCCAGAAGCGTAGTCTTTGACAGGATTAGCTATCCCCCTCTTATTCTGGCATTCTGCAGTTCAGTCCACCGATATGGCCCTTTACACATATACCCATGCATATGTAGTGTAGCTCCTTGCTTGCGAGTACTTTGGATGAGTACTCACGGTTGCTTTTCTCCCTCTTTTCCCCTTTCCCTTCTACCTGGTTGTTGCAACCAGATGCTGGAGCCCAGGAGCCAGACGCCACCGTCGACGACGACCCCTACCACACTGGAGGTGCCTACTACTACGTGCAGCCCGCTGACGACGACCTGGAGTAGTTTAGGAGGATCCCAGGCAGGAGGCTTGCGCCTCTTTCGATCTGTATCCCAGTTTGTGCTAGCCTTCTTAAGGCAAACTTGTTTAACTTATGTCTGTACTCAGATATTGTTGCTTCCGCTGACTCGTCTATGATCGAGCACTTGTATTCGAGCCCTCGAGGCCCCTGGCTTGTATTATGATGCTTGTATGACTTATTTATGTTTTAGAGTTGTGTTGTGATATCTTCCCGTGAGTCCCTGATCTTGATCGTACACATTTGCGTGCATGATTAGTGTACGATTGAATCGGGGGCGTCACAACTGCCGTGCTAGTTGTTGCGCCGGCCTTCCCTCTAAGCCTCGGCACACCACGGAAGAACTCCAGCGCACACCCCCTCCCCCCCCTATAATGCTCTATCTACGAAGAGATATACGTAAGGCAATGTAACCTCCCTAACAATGCCCCTCCCCCTCTGATTTTCAGTGGGGTGGGCCCCTCAATCCCCCTTAATCCAATCCCGATTGTCCACGTTATACATTACATAAAACACCTACGTTACTTTACGTAGGTGTAGCATTGCCCCTTCCCCCCTCCACACACACACACCCATAAACAGTGGCGGAGACAGGGGGGACCAGCAGGGGCCCTGGCCCCCCCCTAACATCTGGATTTTGCTGCTAATCTACTATGAACAGTGACATAATTAGCAATCTTTTGTTGCTGAAAATCTATTTTGCTATAGTTTGGCCCTCCCTAACTTGTTTTAGCAGCACTTGGCCCCCTAATACATATTTCCTGGCTCCGCCACTGCCCATAAAGTAGATACTAGGGCAATGGCTTTCCCTAAGATAAATAGTGGGGTAATGGCTTTCACCTAAGATAGATAGTGGGGCAATGCCTTCTTTCAAAAATGAATAGTGGGGTTGTCTTCTCCGATGAAGTTTGTTGCTCTCCGGCGAGGTCCGGCGTGGCAGAAGGAAGGAAGATGATGACAGATGCGTAAAATCAGACATCTAAGAAATATCAAAAGTGATAATAATTAAATCGGCCGCCGAGAGCAAATTGTCTATAAATAGATACCGGAAGTGGTTCCCATTCACGAAGACGTACGCAGCGGTAGCTAGCTAATTGATGCATGTTACGTGTGCAACTCTAACGACTGTAGCTTAGCCAGTAGTTGCCACTTGTACTCGCACATCCAGAGTTCCATACCGATGCAAATGGCAGCCACCGACCAGAGTAAGACGGCGACCAGGAGGTTCGGATGGCTGTACGTGGCGCGGTGGGCGGTGGCGTCCGTGGTGACCGTGCTGGCCGTGGCAGTGATCGTTCGGGCCGTGGTGGTGATGCTCCGCCCTGAGAAGCTGCAGCTCAAGCTCTCCGGCGGCCGCGTGGCAGTCGACTGGATCCCGTCGATGCCGCCGCCGGGCAACGAGGTGGCGCTCAACTTCGTCCTAGTGGCCAACAACCCCAGCGGGCGCGCCTCCGTCGAGTACACCAACGTCACCGTCCGGCTGACGGACGTCACGAGCGCGTCGTCGCCGTCGCCGACGAAGATCGCCGAGTTCGACCTGCCGGAGTCCATCCCGGTGCTGCAGCGGACGGCGCACGAGGCGATGGTGAGGGTGGGGATGACGCCGGGCGAGGACGTGCCGATGCGGTACGTGCGGGCGCTCTTCGAGGGGCGCAGCGTCGACGGCGTGGAGATGATGCTGCGCGGGGTGTTCCACAGCCACGTGGCCATGGCCAGCGGGGACTACGTCACCACCAGCGACCTCGCCACGTACTACTGCTGGCCAGTGACCATCGCCGTCGGTGGCCCGTCGTCGTCGTCGTCCTCGTCGCCAGACTACACCAGCGTCGTCGTCACCGACGCGCCGTGCCTGGACAAGTCGGAGGCCCCGGCCATCGTGTGAACTGAGGCCAGCTCCGCTCCAACGGTAGCCAGCTAGGTGATGCCATGCATTGCCTCCCGCATGGATCAACCAAGATATGCCTACCGATCCGTCTAGCTATCTGCAATCCACTGAGTGTTTACTAAATTAGTGTATGTAGTAAAATCGATTGATAACGCATGGATGATGGCGATCGATCGTCGATCGATGGTTGCTGCTTGTATGCCTGCCAGCGTGGGTTTAATTTGAGACAGAACGTACTCCTTGCAGTTAATTGTGCATGTTTCACGACTGACGGCGAGCAGCAGCAGTGCAGAGGCGTGCAGCAGCGCGACCTACCGAGTCTTTCGCCGTGGCAGGTTTACCATTCCCTACACGCGACGCTAGCTGTCTTGGTACGTATGCCTAGGTTAGGGCTATCTAGAAGCAGGACATGTCCTTTGAGAAAGTTAATGGAAGGTGGCAGGTCAGGTCGGAGCCAAGATGCATGCACTGGCAGCCGGCACAGGTGGTGGACAAGGAGTAACTACGTGCTGGAGCATGCATGTGTTCGGTGCAGGGATATTGGGCACGAGAGCAACAGTATCGAAGTAGTTAGGGCATCTTGAGCCGTTCGGTTCCCTAGGGCGTCTAAATAGAGCGGCTTGGAGCGTGCCGACGCTAGTTCGGCCCCTGGGAGTGACCTAGCTCCCAGTCACGCCCCCAAGCAGCGGCCCCAGGATGCGGCAAATTTGAACTAGGTCGTTCCCTCTCACAAAAGACGCCACAAATCCGCCGATCAGACGTAGTTTGGCGTTACAAAAAACAGAGCGCCGCACGCCGCAAGTTCGTGTGCGCAACGAATTACTCGGCGGGGTCGGCTCCAGGCGTTGGCGGAGTCGGCGTGCGCGGGCTCGGCGGTGTCGGAGCTGCTTCGGTGCTGGGCTGTGTCGGCGCGACTTCGGTACTGCTGGGCGGCGATGTAGAGGCGTCGTTCGGACTTGGCGTCCGTGTGGCCGTGGGCGCGGGAGCTGGCGTCGTCGGCGTCGTCGGCATTGCCGTCTGCATCTGGTTCAGGATGAGGCCGCGCTCCGCCATGTACCACGCCCTGAGCTGCTCGTCGTTGCTCTGGAGCATGTCCGCCCCGCCCATCAGAAAAGCCATGTCGGTGTTCCTTTTCTTCGCGTCGACGTTGGTCCGGAGCAGGTCGAGCTTGATGGCGCTGTTCGTCATCAGCGACGACCACCGCGCCTCGATCTTCTCTTCACGTAGGACGGCCCGGGCCTGGGCGTCGGCGAGGCTATGCTTGATGGACTCCTGCACTCGCGCGGTTGCCGCGTCGGCGTTTTTCCCCTTCTTTGCCAATTTGTGGCTGTCCGGCCGCCCCTTTGACGCGCCCGGAGTCGTCGTGTCCGGCTTGTATGTCTCCTTGGCCTTGTCGAGGGTACGTGGGACTTCCGCCCACTTCTCGCACTTGTCAATGCGCTGGTAGACGTGGAGGTACTTGAAGTCGGCGTCGAGGTTGTCGCGCCGATACATGGTGAACATGCGCAGCAACTGCGCGGAGGAACAAATAGTTGACGGGCGGCGGGCGTAGACGACGAAGAGATGCGGACGAACGGCGTGCGTACCTGATCCTCAACGCTGGTGCCGCTCTCCGGGCGAGCCGCGACCTCCTCGACGATTCCATGCCATTTGTTGCACGCCCCCTGGATACGCCCCCAATGATTCGCCATCGCCTTGGAGCCGCGCTGCATGTAGACGCCTTTGAAGTAGGGGTCGACGAGCTTCCGCTCGTCGAACTCGGCCTTGATGCAGTCCCAGTACGTCTCGAAGCTCTGGTTCGTGCCGGTGGTCAGGTCGAGGAAGACGACTCTCCATGCCTCGGCGAGGCATTCCTCCTCCTTGGACGTCCACTTGATGCGCGGTTCGCCTGGCCTAGCCGCCCGCTTCTTCTTCTGGCGTCCCTTCATCGGATCAGGAGCCGGCTCCTCCTCCTCCTCCTCCTCCTTCTCGGGTTCCTGCGCTTCGTGCGCGTCCTCGCCGTAGACGTAGCCGAGCTCGGCCTCCATGTCGCTGCTGAGATCCACTACCTCGTCCTGGGTGGCGAACCCGGGAGACGCGGCGGCCGCGGTCGATCCTGTCGCGATGATGTCGTCCATGTCGGCTCCTGTGTCGTCGGTGTCGCCGAGGTGCGAGAAGGGCAGCGGTCCACGGCGGAGATGGGGCGTCGGTGTGGATGCGTAGGCGGGCGGTGAGTAGTTGTATGGAGGGTACCTCACGCCGACGAAGGCGGCCGAGGGTGTGCGCGTCGCGGGGTGGCCATGGGGAAGGTCACGTTTGGGTTGAACCCACCGTGCGCGTCGCCGTCGGTGTAGCCGGGCGACGACGATCCCCATGGAGATCCGACGCCTTGCTGTCCCCAGGGCGCGTACTAGGCATGGCTGACGACGGGTGGATTCATCATCCCCGCGTGGTCGACCGATGAGGAGGACGCCGCCGCGCGCGCCGCGTTGTCGCGGGCCTTCTTGGCGATGGCCCTGTTCCGCCGGTCAGCGGTGACTGCGTCGCGTCGCTGAACTTCCACCCTCCACTCGGCGTTCGACATGCCCGGTGGCTTCAATGGCGGCGCCCTCGGCTTCCTCTGCTTCGACTGGGCCACGGTGCCAGTCGTGGTTGCCGCCGCGCGCGGCATGGCGTACTTCTTCGGTGGCATGGCGGCGACTAAAAGGCGAGCGGGAGGGGGTTTGGCGGGAGAAAGGGAGGGAACGGCGGGAGGAAGGCGAGCGAGCGGGAGGGATGCGAGGGAAAAGCGTCAAGAAACGGCGGGAAAAGGCCCTCGGGTCGCCGCCAGGGCGGACCCACGCGCCTTTTTCGCTTGTGCTGGCTCCCCAAGCGCCCCCAGGACGCCGGGTTCGGCCTGGGTCCGCCGGCACCAGTTTTGGCCCGAGCCGGCGAAAAACGGGCTTCTGAGGGCGCGACTGGACCGTTTTTTTGGCACCGACGAGGCAAAAACGCCCGAGGAGGACCTGTTGGGGGCGCGGCTAAAGATGCTCTTAGAGGCTGTTTGATTTCAGCTCAGGTTAGCCCCGCCAAATCATTGGCGCTGTTGGTGAGCCAAAAAATTGGCCAACGATTCCACCGCCCTCGCCCTTACCAACAGATTAGCGTAAAAGAAGCAGAGGAAAGGTGAGTCGGGTTGGCGTGTCAATTATTTGGATCCCATCCAAACACGCACCCTACAGCTGGTCAACGACCAATTTTTTGGTCCAGCACCTTAGGGAAATAAACCAAACAGCCCCTTAAAGATGACCGAAAGGAACCCCACTTTCATCATGTCTTTAAGGCCCTTCCCAGTGCTTCATCGTGTACAAGTGTTAAGGATGTCACATAGATAAAAATATGATGTGGCAAAGCATTTAAAAAGAGAGAGAGCATTTAAAGAACCAATGCTAAACACGTGGACCTAGGTAAAAAACTACCAACCAATACATGAAAGAGATTTATTACTAAACAATTAAATAGAGGAGGTTTAGCTACAAAATCTAAGCACTGATACATTGGGAACATTAGTTGCTAAGCATTTTAATGCACTTAGCACACCATTTTAGCATCAATGTATTAGGAGAGGTCTAATTTGGACTTTTGGAGGCACTGCATGCTGCACAGGCACCTGATCGACCTGCCTCTCGCCAAGTGGATCAACCATACAGTGTTAGACTAACAACAATGCTACATCCACGGAGATCTACAGAGTTTTACAGGGTGAGATTGAGCTGGCAATTTGTGATTGGACTAAGGAGAGGGAGGGGCCAATGCCTACAGACCTTTGGCTTCAAAATTTGTCCACAAAAGAGTGTACATTTATTTTCCCAATGCACATTAAAATAGAAAAATATTGCTTCTCTCTCATCACATGGTAATCAAGACCAATAACATTCTACACATGGTTTTTTTAATTTTTTTCATGCACTTAGTAGGTCATTGGGGGTAGGATAGTTAAAATGGAGAGATGGCGGCTTGCACCTTTCCAATGCATTTTCACTCCACTCCATAATTTTTTTCACCGGACGGAGGTAGTACTAAAACTATCACTCTTCTCATTAATTCATTGCCAAATACTAGGAAAAATTGCCGAGTTGGACTCGATGTGGCTAGTCTTACGTGACGTGGAGGTAGTATTTTTTGTTTTTAGACTGTTTGTTTCATAGCAAATATTATTGGGTCTGCACTGCACGTCACTCATCGATGAAAACAGTCAAATAGGTCGTTTCCAGTGAGCCAGACCCGAGAGATGCGAGGGGTGCACATGGGAAGGAGTAGTTGCACGCGTGGGGACACATGATAGAAACCGTGTTGGCTCCTGAAGGGGTTCCATAACTCCCCTCACCCCAACCCCTCCCATCACCCACTCTCTCCTTCTCCCACCACCTCACTGTGACGCCCTCGATTCAATCGTACACTAATCATGCATGCAAATGTGTACGATCAAGATCAGGGACTCACGGGAAGATATCACAACACAAATCTAAAACATAAATAAGTCATACAAGCATCATAATACAAGCCAGGGGCCTCGAGGGCTCGAATACAAGTGCTCGATCATAGACAAGTCAGCGGAAGCAACAATATCTGAGTACAGACATAAGTTAAACAAGTTTGCCTTAAGAAGGCTAGCACAAACTGGAATACAAATCGAAAGAGGCGCATGCCTCCTTCCTGGGATCCTCCTAAACTACTCCTGGTCGTCGTCAGCGGGCTGCACGTAGTGGTAGGCACCTCCAGCGTAGTAGGAGTCGTCGTCGACGGTGGCATCTGGCTCCTGGACTCCAGCATCTGGTTGCGACAACCAGAAAGAAAGGAAAGGGGGAAAAAGGGGGGAGAAAGCAACCGTGAGTACTCATCCAAAGTACTCGCAAGCAAGGAACTACACTACATATGCATGGGTATATGTGTAAGGAGGCCATATCAGTGGACTGAACTGCAGAATGCCAGAATAAGAGGGGGATAGCTAGCCCTATCGAAGACTACGCTTCTGGTAG